AGGCGGATGGGGGGGGCCCTGAAGGCAGCGCTGACCCCTCCCCAGTTCCCGACTGCTCTGCTGCTGGGTGCCGACAGAGGGCATCTCGTGCTCGCCCCATGGGGGGAGGTTCAGACCTGGAGCAGGGATGCTAAATATCAGTTAATTGAATAGTCCAGTAACTGTTACTGCCAACAGGTGGATTTGAACCTGGGCCTGCTGAAGCTTAGTATAGGAGTCTCTATCCCCTGAGCTAAAAGCCCCTGAGCTCTTAGCCCATCCTGTAGAGGTCTCTTGGTCTTATCTGTTGCTGTGCTCTAGGTAGCTGCATGGGACAGTGAGCCGAGGTCTCTTGGTCTTATCTGTTGCTGTGCTCTAGGTACGGTTGCATGGGACAGTGCCCCAGCCACACCAAGTGTGTGGGTTACATAATCTCATGAATTTTTATCAGTTAGTTGACTGTTCTATAGTCTTATGGGGCAGCCACTGTATCAGAGGCAGCAGTGCAGGGTGCCAGGCAAGAACTGATCCACTAGGGGAGCCAGTTTAAAAACCAGCTTGCTTTCTGGATCAGCTACCTGTCGTCCAGTGCTGTGGCCTCTGATAAAGAGGCAGCAGTATGGGGTCTGAGCTCCTGGACCCAGTACAAGCCGGAACTGACCCAGGCTACTTGCCCACCTGGCTCCTAATACACTTTAAAAATGCAGAGCCACAGTAGGGGTAGGTTCTGGACCTAGCGGTAGCCAGAATTGAACCAGGTTGCTGGCCAGCCTGCAGAAAATGTACTGGCAAAGGTGAGGGGAGGGAAATGCTGTAGTCTATAGCATTAACCCATAAGCTTTTGCTTATTGGCTAATCGGTTAATTGACTACACTATTACATCCTTAGCCTGGAGAGGGAGGCAGAAGTCACTTGCATCTCTGTTTTAGACCTGGTTGCTGCTAGAGTTCACTGGCAAGGGCCAGTTAACTGGTAAGCATACCGGTAAGTATCATGCTTACTGGTCTCCTTATTGGGTAATTTTTTAATATTTCTAATATATGCTGAGTCTGTCTTAATAGAGCTCTGATTTTTGGGGAGGAGGTACCTACCGTCTCTTACTTCCTCTGCCATTACATAAGGCCCCTAAAGCCAGGTCTACACTACAGAGGGAATTAAGATTCGCAACTCCAGCTATGTTAATTATGTAGCTGAGTTGACATATCTTAATTTGAGTTTCCATGCGGTTTCCATCGTGGGAGGTTGACGGGAGCAAATGCTTCCCTAATTCTTAAGGAGCAAGTGTAGTGGGGGCGCCCTCTGAGTTCAATTTAGTGGATCTCTGCTAAACCCACTATATTGAACTCTAGAAGATCGATCGTGGCAGCATTAATCTTCCTTGTAGTCATGACATGTCTAAGAACTGATCGAAAAATTCCTCTCTCTCATTCAGTTCATATAGATTTGATCCCTATTATATCCCACCTATAGTATGTTCCAACAACATATAACTGGTTCATAGCTTCTCTTGTTCTGCCACAAGGCATAGGTAAGCTCTCATTCCGCAAGGCTGCAAATACTTACAAACATGCTTCACTTTGGGAGCATGAACTCCCTAAGTGAACTCGTGTATATTTTTACAGAACAGGGGTACAAGCTGTCTCCCCATTGAAGATTTCCAAAAATTCTTGCACAGTTGGTCACTGTAGCTTCAGTGCAGCTTCACACAAACACAAGTGCATTCTAATCTCTGTTGTCTGCATCCAGTTTACATGAGTGTTCCCCCCCATTCCTAGTACTGACGGGGCAGCAGTGGTCATAAACAGATGTTGGAAAAATTTCTTGAAATGCTTTCTGGAGATAAGGCCTAAATGCAGAATGGCAGTGCTGATGGTTAATGCATGGTATTTAAAGGGCTTGTGTGGAAGAAACTAAAACAAATAACAGATTTTGATAATCCTATGTACTATATGTAGTCTACTGATTCACTTCCAACTGACAATTGACTTAATAATAATAATAAAAAGTATTATTATTATTACTTTTATAGTGCCAGCAGTGTTCTGGAATCTTAAAGACATCAGAAAACAATCTCTAAATATGTCTCTGTTAGTTGTCAGGTAAGTTGGTGAGCTCTGATTATCATTATTTCTTAAAGGAGGAATCAAGACACAATTGTATATTACATTTCATTTGCTGCTTTAAATTTGACCTCAGTTGTGACTTTTTTGGTGAATCTTAAACAGTCTCACAGCAAGTTTTATGTTTAAAACTATTGAGTAAAACATCATGCTTGGGATGGGTTAAGTTAGTGGACTTAATCCACTAAGGATGGATTTAACTTTTTGTAGACCTGTTTTGTTTAATTATTTATATTATGTTAACACCTAGATTTGAGGTCCTGTTACAGTACATATTTTTGTATGTTAGTCTTCATGTACAAGAAAATGGCAATTAAAATATAATTGCAAATACATGGTGGATGACTGGAAATTGGGTGCATGTTAGGCATACCATAATTCTAATGTTCATATTTCATTGGAAATGCTCCCATTATTGAAAAACTTCACATTCCCCAATGCCCAGAAAAAAGACTCCAAACCCTGAGCAAGTGTCATTTTAATTTCATTCTGCATTATGTTCCAATGAGGGAAAGCATACTTTCTCATACTAAGAAGCCTGAAGACTCACTGAAGGTGTCTTTATGCAAGAAATTTTTCAAAAAATGCTCTCCAAAAAGACTTTTTTCTTAATATAACATTTGCTGCGTTTGTCTTTGTATTATTAAGTTTATTTGACTGAAAACAAATCCTGTATTTGTATCAGGCAAATGTTCTTAGTAAGGAAAAGCAGGTGGGAAAAAGATTTAGCATTGTGTACCTGTTTATAAATGGAATGTACTCTATGAGGTATTACCAGCATGTTATATCTACCATCTTTGGGAAACTTTAGTAGCTTATTCGTATTGGCACACATGATGTAACCCAAAATAGGGATGTAAAATCCTGAGTAATCAATTAACTGATTAAATGTTAGGTTAACCAAACATTTAACCAGTTAACTAAGAGGGATCTCACCACTCTAGTCTGTAGGACTGCAGCTCCCAGCCCATGCACTGGGGCTGGCTGCCAAGGCTGAAGTAGGCCTCCCACCTGTAGCAGGCGATGGGCTGCTCCTAAGGCACCAGTTAACCATTACTCAATAAGCATTACGCAGTAAGTTTGTTGCTTAGTAGGTAACCAGTTACCCTTTCACATCCCTAGTTCAAAATCTTCAGGAACTCACTCATTATGGCATAATTATTGCAGTTATTAACTTCATTTTGGTTAGTACTAGTTATTGGACAATTTCAAAAACTCTTGCCAAAATCAGTGGGGTGAAAGTCAAGCACCCTTTTGCAATTACTTACAGGACCGAGGCCTTTTTGACCTAATTGGTATCAATTTCTTCTGGGATTCTGTATCAGAGATTAATATACACAGCACTTGGATCTGTGTTCAGCTATTTGGAACTGAAACATATGTTTTATAGATGACCTTTTCTTAGCAAGAGTTCATGAACTAATGTAAATGTGAGCGAGAAATTGTAAGCTCTGTATAGAGTTTGATGTTCTAGTCACTTTGAGCATCTTAATGCTTGAGTTGAAGCTAATGGGACCTACTCCTCATAGGTGCTACTTAGCATGAATAAGGGTGCAAGAATCTAACTTAACGTATCTACTTCGCTACCAACTAGCATA